TTTATTTTGCATTGAAAATGACCCGATCGGGGTCGAAACGTTCGTTTGCATGTATACATGTATGTAAGAAATTTTATTAAATATTCTTTGTTATAACTGGCTCATAGCCCATTCTTTTTACCACTAATTTATTTTTATTTTGTTTCTAAAAAATATATGTTCATAAAAAATAAAAATCAATTTTACATCATAAATAAAGTGACCGTAAAAATATCTGAAATAGTGACTTAAATCCAACTATTTTTACGATCACTTTATTTATGATGTAAAATTGATTTTTATTTTTCATGAACATAAAAACAAAATAAAAATAAATTAAATAGATAAAACTAACATTCTTAATACTTTCTATAACACTTCTATATCAAATGCATTTTTCCTAATTTTGGACTATATACACTGACTATACAGCAGACAGCAGTAAATGTATACATTTACTGAGTTACACTGACTGTGATATACCTATATATTCTATATTTGTAAAAATACATTTACCGATGAATGGATACATCATCTTCCTCTCCTGTTCCTATTTTGCAAACACGACAATATCCAACCATTATCACAATCAAAAAAGTGTATATTCCGTAGCCTATATAGTCTACCTGGTCTACCTATAGCGTATTCCACTTACTGACTTGACTCGACCACAGTATAGGTAAGAACAGTAGTTTCACTTTAGAGGTTTGTCGCGTCGCAATCTCCAACGTGCTCCAACATGCTCTACCATAGTTCTTACTCACTCCAACGCGCTTGATAGAGTGAGTAGGAGCCATGATGAAAATTGTGCATGAGCACCTATAAGAGCGAAGAATCGATTAGGGGAATGATTGGATGCACTCAGTACTACAACCGCTTACTGAGCGCTCAGTAAGCTTTTGAATCTGTTTGGTCTATATTTTTAGTTCTAACAGAATATGCCAATCAGATGCTAAGAGCTCACTAAGCGCTCATTGAGCGGTGTAGTACTGAATGCACTCATTGGTGCGCCATGTTGTTAATTGCGTAGAATGGTGGCCACCGTTTTTGGCTGAGTAATGCCTGGTTTATGCTTCGGTCTTAACCCTAAAATCCTAAAATTCAGCCAATGAAATACAGATTTCCGTTAGGATCAATTAAGACTGGCAGCCCTATTGGCTGAATTTTAAGATTTTAGAATTAAGACCGAAGCATAAACCAAGCATAAGGGCGCATTCACACCTTGACGGAAAAGCAGAAAGCGGAAAAGCAGTGGCTAATCACAACTCGTGTTGTTAGTAAGTAGTACAAAAAGCCGAAATTGTTGACTACCAGTGCGAGTTCTGATTGGCTGCTGCTTTTCCGCTTTCTGCTTTTCCGTCAGATAAATAAATAAATAAATAAATATATAATTATAAACAAATAAATATAAATGAACATATAAATAATTATTCCCTATGTCTCACTGCTTCTTTTATTAAATAAATATTTCTATTTTGTAAACGATGGGATAAATAAATGTACAAATAGAATAACTCCATATGTGAAATTATTCATTCCTTCTTTCCTTCCCTCCTTTTCTTTGCAGTATTTCATCATTCCATTCATTACTCGACATCATCGCGCCTATATCAAGCGTTCATTTCACACTCGCTTGTTTAAATCATTAAGGTAATAGAAGAATTATATTTTATCATATATTTAACTTTATAAACTTAACCGTCCAATTTTTGTATAACATTAATTTTTTTTTAAACGTAATTCACATTGAGAATGACCCGACAGGGTTTGTGCTTTAATTTATGTAAAGATTTTATTATTTAGTATTTAGCGATAAATATGCCGCTTGGTTCATAGTCCTTTTTATCTATTATTAATTTTAACTTAAAATTATTTGAGTCCAATTTCATTTTGTAATATGTATTTCATTTATCATTGTAAATATTGAAAATATTTCTAAATAAATTTTATATAATTAGAAAAAATTTATTTTTCAATAATTTGCTAATATTATGTAGTAGAAATATAAAATATTTATACAATTTATGAAGAACAAACATTAGAGTTTGAATTTCTTACAGACAATTAATCCATTAATTGTAAGTTATCAAGTTTCTCACTAGAATAAAATCCTGCTTTGACCTGTTTACCACCGAAGAAACGTCCATTTAAATCAACTACGGCCTTAATAGCACTCTCTATTCTCTTAAATTCAACAAAAATTCGTACTGCTTCCTCTGGCAAAGCTTCAATCACTTCATGAATAATAACACGTGCAACATCGCCATATTTAGTGTTGCATTCGTCTTTCACTTCTGGTTCAAGATCGTTATCAACCTCTCCAGGACCAACCATATTGCGCAAGAGAACAACCTAAAATGACAGATGTAATTTAGATTATAAATATATTTTAAATTATATAAGGTATACAAAATTATAAAAAAGACATATTTAAACATAACACAATTACATTAATTAATTGTAAAAATGTATTAATAATAAATAATTAATAATAAATAATTAATAGTAATAATTTTGTAAAATTTAAATGCTTTTTATTATATGATATATATATATGTATATTATATTATGTGTATATATATATATATATTATACACATGTATATACGATTACTAACTTTGCTTGGACATTTCATTATCTCAGTAATGCTAGGTTCTTCCTGGGGCTGTTGTGATTGAGATGGTAGCTGTAATTGCATCTGTGGTGGAGAAGCTGTAAGAGGTGGTGGTGGAGGCATTAGTTGTTCCTTTTCGCCGACTATTCTACCACCACGTTTACTAGTTTTTTCCACTTGCAATGCCACTGACATGCCCTGTTCTTTCTTGCCAAGACCCTGCCCTTCTTTAAAGCCATATTTGGCCATTATTTTTGCTGCTACAGACGATGTTGAATAGCCCAAATTAGATGGCTGTCGTGGTGGTGGAGGTGGCAATTCTGCAGATTCTTGTAAGGATGGTGGTGGTGCTATAGCAGCACCTCCTACCATAGCTCTCGAGGTTGGCGTTCTCTCCTCATCTCTTTCAGGAGGTATCATTGCACTGTTTCCACCAGCAGTCTGTTCACAAACATAAAACATTAATATTATTATAATACTTTTATTGCTATTATAATATTTTTATTCAGTGTAATATTCATTTTACTTACTCAGATTAAGTTCATTATTACTTATAAACTACTATTATATTTTATTATTTATTTTTATTAATTATTATAATTTTTAAACCGTTTTCGTAGTTTTTCTTATTCAATTTAGCAGCATCAAATTTTCACATAAAAATTTTTCTATTTAAATTAAATTTTTTTTCGTGTTATTTCTTTAATTCTTTGTGGTAACACTTAAACTGAGTAAGATAATGCAATTTTGTGTTATAATAAATTTTGAAAGAGAATTAAATAACTATTACTACTTTGATCGGACGACAAAATGTTTTTGAATAGACTGTGATATAATTTCTTTTAAAAAGAATTAAAGCTACTTGGAATTGGAATAGGAAAATTTTAAGAGAAATCCTTCAATAGAAATACAAAAATATATACTTAGGTTTTATTGTACAAAAATTATAGATAGTATCACTCTTGAATTACATCTTTTTTTGTACTTGGCATCATTTTTTTACCTTTTTTTAAAAAGGGTAATTTTGTATGGATTATATATTACCTGAGTATCTTCAAAGCGAGTACTATCTCTCCGGCGTTTGCGCATTTCCGTCTCTTGATCATGTTCCCTATCCCTGATGTCACGTAATTCTTTCACAACTTTTTCATATTCGTTAGGCCATATAGGATCATATTCATTCACTACATTCCAATCAAATTCGCCACCTACTCCTATGTTGCTCACGCTGCCACTGGATAATGGATTGTTATGAGTACTGTCATCCTCTCTGTCAACATCGCGATTAGCTTTCGATTTCAAGTCTATCACTGGTGCTAATACTGCAGAAGCTTTCCTGTTTTGTTCACGTTTCGGCTGAATTTATAAATAGCAATTAGAAGCTTATTTTTAACAAATGAAGATTACATTGAACATTATTTTTTAAGTAATTATTTGATATGTATTGATTAAGATAGATTTACCTGTGTAGTAGCAGCCTTTTTCAGCTGCAACTGCGATTGTAGTAATTTAATGCCAGAAGACCATCCTGCAACCTTTTCTGTGGTTCGATGCTTGTCAAAATCGTCGTACAAAGACATATTGAGTTACTTCAATGTTTAACTAACATCTGACTGCATTTGACATTTCAAATATAACCTCAACCGGCTCAACCTTCAAAAGTTCATAGATTCAATAAACTTATATAGAAGTGTATATAGTATACTAGATTCAAAAACCATTGACATAGTATAGATAGACCGAGCATGCGGCACGAGACGTGATGTGCGTGAAGAAAGGAACAGAAATGAAATTTATTTCTCTCCACAGGCTTCTATAAATATTTATATGTCTGTGTTTCTCTCTTTAAAGGTATTGCGTTAAACTTTAGTTAATTTTATCTTTTCCGCGTTTCCGCGCTTCATGTAATGGCACTCTAAGGGTGAAATCACACGGTGCGGAAAAAGACTGCGGAATAGAGAATGCGTCATTGAAGCAACCAATCAGCACTATTCCGAATAGCGCTGATTGGTTGCTTCAATGACGCATTCTCCATTCCGCAGTCTTTTTCCGCACCGTGTGATTTCACCGTAATAACGCGGTTCCATGGTGCGGAACGCATACGCAATGCAGAATTGGCGGAACGCTCGTGATTGATTTAGAAAAGACACATCGGCGGAGCGCAATTGACGGAATGCTTGCGATTGGACGGACATCGTTCCGCCAATTCCGCATTGCGTATTCGTTCAGCATTGTGGCCGGAAGATTCAGACTAGGCATTGAAGATTGAAGCCTGATTTATAATGGCCGTAACCGTTAACTTATACCGGTGCTGGTAAAGTTTAACCATATGCTGGATTCACACTGCATCCGATTTTCGTCGTACGAAGCTCTGCATCCAATCAGAAAACACGATGAATTTTGCTTCGTATTATGGCCCGTCTACAATATACGTAGTAAGCTTGGTTTAAGAAGAGTAAGAAATTGACTAATCACAGTCGAATGTAAGAAGAATAATCGACTGTGATTGGTCAATTATTTATTCTTACTTCGCATATTGTAGACGCCGCCTTATCGGAATCCTGTTTTCTGATTGGTTGCAGAGTGTCGTACGACGAAAATTGGATGCAGTGTGAATCCAGCAATGGGACCGCGCCATTATTTTGCTACTGCGCATTTTCGGGAATACAAACCTTCTCATTCCGCCATGTTTCGTCTGATATGATTGGAGGTAGTTTCTCTAGTATTCCGATATTTCAAGTTCTTTCTCCATCGCGACAGAATGGGTGAGTGATACGATTTTACTGAAATTAATTTTCATCGATGCGAATCTAAGCTTTCTCGCCGTGAAATCTTAACGAGACATAAACGGCGCGTGAATCAGATATCGTCCTTTCGTCGACAAGGAATATTATTTTCGTCCTTTCGACCTGGTTTCGTGAAAACTAGCTCGACGCTTGTCGATGTCGAACATAGTCATGTCGAACTCGTGACACTTTCGTGATTTGTATTTTCCTTTTTTAACAGTGAAACCCACGTTTTAAACAAACGTAAATATTATAGATTTGCCCGTGCATTTATTAGTTTTCTAATCTGTACAGAAAAAGTTTTGTAGTATCAATGTGATATAATGTTTAATTAGGTTAACTTTGCTTTTTTAAACACGTTTCCTGATGAGTTTAAGTTAACAAGCTTAAGAGTTTACTAAGTTATTTTATCAATATTGCATTGTAGGTATCTCTCGGGATCACTGGCATAAGCGGAGAGCCACTGGTGGAAAGAGGAAGCCCATTCGCAAGAAGAGGAAATTTGAGTTGGGACGTCCAGCTGCAAATACCAAACTTGGGCCACAGCGGATTCATACTGTAAGCTTAATTTTCTCAAGCTTAACTTTCACTATGATGAAATTGTAAAAGTAAAGCATTAGTTAATGGAGATAAAATAAATTTCAATAGTATAATTAATGTCAGATAATGAGGTAGAATAAATCTCATTAATAGAATTAATGTCAATATCGTAATAAATAAAATTATAGTTTACAGTCATTGATTTGTAAGCGTTGTCATTGATGTTACATATATTTTTACAATTACTCATGAAAAAATATTTTAATAATTCACTCTTTACTATGAAGTTATAAAGTGATGATCCTTACCTACTCTGAGTGCCATGATTGTTCATAATCTCACAGCGATCTGATGTGTATTTTATAAATACATATATTTAATGTGTTGGAATCAATTATAAATATCTCTGTCTTATTGTGTGTATATACTAGGTCCGTACACGTGGAGGCAATAAAAAGTATAGAGCACTTAGATTGGACGCTGGAAACTTTTCCTGGGGTTCAGAATGCAGCACCAGGAAGACTCGTATTATCGATGTTGTTTACAATGCATCTAACAATGAACTAGTACGAACCAAAACTTTGGTGAAGAACGCCATCGTCACCATCGATGCTACACCTTTCAGACAGTGGTATGAGGGTCATTATGTACTGCCATTGGGCCGTAAGAGAGGCGCTAAACTTGTGAGTATTTAAATGTAATTTCATTTAAATTTCTGGAATATTGTATGTAGGATACATAAAATGGACTATAATTATTTTCTTAGACGGAAGCTGAAGAAGAAGTGTTGAATAAAAAACGTTCTAAAAAAGTAGAATCCAAATACAAGGCAAGACAGCGATTTGCTAAGGTTGAAGCTGCTTTGGAAGAACAATTTGCAACGGGACGTGTTCTTGGTATAAAAATTTTTAATTCTTTACAAAATTAATTTGTTAACATATACTTGAATAGATTAATCTTTCTTTTTAAATGAGTGTTAAAGAGATGTTATAGTTTAAATATACTCCTAATAAAATATTCTTTGTTCTCTTAAATATATATATATATTTGAAACTTAATGTGACTTGGAATTAATAATTTTAATAATTTTCTCACTTTTAGCTTGTATAGCAAGCAGACCTGGACAGTGCGGTAGAGCTGACGGTTATATTCTTGAAGGCAAGGAGCTCGAGTTTTACATGAGGAAGATTAAGAGCAAGAAAGCTAAATAATTATAATTATGATTCATTAATAAAAAACGATCTTGAAATACGAAAGAAACTTGTTTATTATTCTTTTCGAGTGGAGGTAGATGAACTCTTGTTAGGTATTTTCGAAATATAGATACAGATGTGGAATAACGCATTTAAAATGTTCATAAATTGGATACCAATAATTAAAAACTAATTGAAGTATTTAATCGAGATAACATGGTGCTTTTAAAAATTGATTAAGAGGTAACACCTATGTAATCGGCTGTAAATAAAGTCTGTTTGGGAATTTTTTTTTTGTTTAATGAATCGTGCTATTAAAAAATGAGTTTTATAACTTTATTAAGCATAAAAAAGTACAAAAAATTTTTTCAGAATTTTATTCATCAAAATGGCGGATCTGCAATAGTGTGATGGAAACAGTCGAAATAGCATGGTGTTCCGTGGCTAGCAGCACAAGTGTCGTAATTTTTGGTTTGGAACAAAAGAGCAAATATTTTTATTTTCTTTATTCAAATATCTACAGAAATACGCAGTCGTTTTTGAAAATATTGATTTTTGATAAAATGGCGGAAGTACAAACAAAAAGTTCCATTTTTGTCAAAAAATAGTCGGGTAAAATCAGCTGTAATTAAAAAAATTTGTTACTTATCAAAAAAATTCTACGTGTTTCTTTAGAAAATGTGATTTGTTAAATACTGTTAAAATTTGAAGTAAATAGGTTAACAATTGAATTTTTAGGAACCTATAACTTTCGAAAAAAATTATGTATCGCAATAAAACCACTTGCACTTCATTTTTTAGACCTTAAAGTGTACTTTAAAAGAAAAAAAATCGATTTTTTGAAAATTTTACATAGGTGTTAATTTAAGTAATTTTGTTAAATTTACACGGAACATTTTTCGTGACCAACTTTTTTCTCCCTTTCCTATCTAATTAGGTCTCCTTAGTCTTACTTCATGAGTGCGTTTTAAGCAGTTTCGAATTGCGCATCATTTATCCTTGTTCACCAAATAATAAAGAAGGAAGCAGCTACAGGTTTGCTCTTTTTTAAAAAGTTCTTTTACGATTCATCTTTCTTTTCTCCATGTTGAGAGAAAAAGAAAAAAGATTAACCGTGCAAGAAGTTTAGCTAAAAAGAACAGACCTCATCACAAAAGCACGAACCGCTATCTATGGAGCAATTAGTTCATGCTCCGTTTCTTCTATTTGTTTGATAAAACATGGCGGCAGCGGTTAATGGTACATGCCTTGTCTTGTCTCTTTTAATATCACATTAATAATATATGAAAAAATAACTGATTAAATGTTTTCTAGCTTGTTATTTAACGATCAAGAAGATTTCCATAATTGGTGCTTTTTTTCATGAGTGATTCTTGTACATAACCTCAAATCACATTTTTCATTCACATTTTTCATTCAGTACAATAATTAAGATGATGTTATACATTTTTAAAGACCGTTCCGTTTTACAGGCTGGTTATTAAACAATCTTTCCACGATGTATAGACAAGCATCGTGTCTTAATTTTTATCCCTTAATCAGTTTCCTACAAGCGCGAAATTATGCTGCCAGGAAGGGTACGAGAGAAAAAGCAAGGAAGAAAAAAGTCAAAAAGGTCATTGAAAAAATAGGCTTTATTCCGCACGAACAGAGAGTGAAAACGTAAGCATGTTTTTATATCATATATATGAAAATATGTATCATTAATATATTAACATCAATATTGCACTCTTGCGATATTAGTGGAGGTAGAAAAAAGGCACTCGAGTTAAAGGATATTTCCCCAGACGATAGTAAGAAGTTCGAACCAATAGATAATGTATGGATTTCAAAATTTCACAAATGGAAAATTTATTCATTCGAAGAAGCAGTGCAAAATCATCGTGAAACGCATCATCCCACTATATATAATTTGCCAAATGAACCCATAAAAGCGTTTCTAGAATTGGATATGCAGGTAAAAATAAGGAGAAGAAAGTCTATGTAAAATAAATCATATGTACATACAAGATTGCTAAATATATAATCATGTGTTATCAGCATGTGAAAAAGACAAAATTTGTCGACGCTTTTACACGAATAGTATGTCTACCACATGTATTCGATCATGGTCAAACTAGAAAACTACTGGTATTCTGTAAGAATCCCGAAATGGAAGATATTGCAAGAGATGCCGGAGCTGATTATGTTGGTGGTAAACAGTTAATAAAACAGATTCAGGTAAGATATTATTTTTTACAGCATATTGCTTATGCACTTGTTATATGTACAATATCATATAACAAGCTGCAGAGATTATTGTTTAATAATTGATGAAATTTCTATTATTTTAGAATGGACAATTTTCAATGAAGGAATACGATATTATTTTGTCAGAACCAACTATTTTGCCCGATTTGCTATTAATTAGGGGACTTATGAGGAAGAAATTTCCCAACGCTAAATCAGGTTAGTAGAAATATGTAATTATACTTTTAAATTTTCATCTTTGTAATATATTGTGTGCTTTTTATGAGTGTACTATAACAGGGTAGGCCATTTTAATAATCAATACACGCGAATATCTAAAAGGAGAAATTTTTTCAAAAAATGTTTCAGACAAAAAAAAGTTTTATGATTTCAAGGGGGAAAGAAGATAGTGACTCATAACTCGAAATGTACTTAACGAAAAAATGCTTTATTAGCGTTTTGGAAAGCTCTTGAAATAAGCTACAAAAATACACAATAAAAAATGTGAGTTCCGTTTAAAAAATTTTATTCAACACGGACCTGACCTTGACATCTTCTCAAGGTCAAACAAGGTCACTGTCTTCTTTCCCCTTTGAAACCATAAAACTTTTGTCTGAAACATTTTTTGAAAAAATTTCTCCTTTTCGAGATATTCGCGTGTATTGATTAAAATGGCCTATCCTGTATAAATACCTTGTTAGCATAGAAAGTAGTATACATGTAGCACAATAGTAACACAGAAAGTATGCACTTAGTAATACCTGAAGTTCAAGTGTTTCTATAAACGCTTTACATTGAATTTAACGCTTTGTTAGTAAAACATGATATAAGCAACATATATACTGTCTAATTAAAAAATTTTATTAGTCCAATTTAAAATATAATACTAAGAGAGCGCCAAAGATTGGTCAAAGTTAAATATTACAATATATATTCTTAATTTAAATTTAAATTATCTCAGATGTGACTGTGGCCGAAACGTTCGGACATTAACCACAATCGATCTGAGATGTTAATAATATAAATATAATGAATATTATATGAAATAATCCCCCCTTAAATTAATTCTGTAAAGAATTTAAAATATAAATTTTGTACAAAAAATTTGTGAAAACGAAATTGAACGATTTGCATCTGTTTTAAAATAAATGTTTTACATTCTTTAGTATATAAATTTTGTTCTATTAGGTACCTTGGGTACTGATTTAAAAACGATGATAACGAAGTTTCTGACTGGTATGAGATATACGGGAAAGCCACATGAAACTCTTAAATCTTTTGGAACTGTCGATGTTGCATTTGGAACGGTAAATTCTTGATGTTATTTATACAAATGTTTTGTATTTATTACAAATAGATATTGGTGCGAATTATGTATTTTATCATGACTTACAAAAAATTGTCCAATCAATTTCATATATTATAGCTTGATATGGATACAAAACAGTTGGAGGAGAATTTTGCTACCGTTATTAAGGATGTCAACGAAGCAAAGCCACGTCGACCAGAACCTTTCATCACAAGGTAACATTGAAAATCATTTACATTAAAATGATCACGTCCTCGTTTATACAAATAAATAATTATAATTATTATATTTTAACAGAGCTGTAATTACATGTTCGCCATCACCAGAAAGGTTTAAAGTTAACTTTGAACAGTATCTACTTAAAAATAAAGCACTCGAAGCAGAAGCAGAAGCAGAAGAAGAAGAAGAAGAAGAAGAAGAAGAAGAAGCAAAGCAAGACGCTGTTATTGCGTCTCATTAAATTTGTTCATAGGACTATCAATAAAATATTATATGTAGTTATAAAGATATACACATTGTAATAATTGAAACACAAACCTGTGTTTTCCTATCATTGTGATTAATGTTTCACTTATACATATATACATGCTTCTAAAAAAGCTAAATTGTAGATTTTGTAAATTTTATTCCAAAATTAATTAAATAAAAAAGCTCATTAAACTATATAATGCAACAATGAACAGATGAGCGATTGTATTTTGGATCTTAAAATTTACAACTATTACGATTTTATACAAAATATTGAGATTGTTCGTAGCTACATATAGTTTGACCATAATAATCCGAAAGGCATATAATTATGCGGGACGTAATCTCGTTAACGCAGATAGAACATGATGGCTATGGTCCGCTTGTGTGTTAATAAGTCACGAGTATACGGAGGGAGACATAGGCGGCTTCAAAGCTAACGGTGCCCTAGGCAACGTATTTACTACTAATGAATACCGCGAGGTTCTACTTCATTGAGCGAGCTATTGTACATACAAGGGCTTCGGTGATAAAGCGCTTATAGATATTTAACTTCTATATGCGATGAAATCTTATAGCCTTCTCATAGTCTAATATGAAGCTCTTATACACGCAAAAGCTTCTGTAAACACGAGATTTGTAAATTATTAATTACAGTTCAAGGTAGAGATCACGTTTTTGATATCCCGATGCGTTTCGTCAATAAGAGAGAGTTTCTATATTAGAAATATACTTTCTGAGTAAAGTTCTGCTTTTCTTTAACGCAGAATGCTTGTTTTTGCACTTGAATCTCTTCTCGATTTAAGAATGAGATTTGTAGGAACGGATATTTTATAGACGTTAAAAGTACGTTTCACGATCTAGCGGAAATAATTGAGCAAGACTTTTTTTACGGAAGTATCTTCGACGATTCAAGGAACGATGTATTTATACAACTCTCTCTCTAGTTGCCTTTCTCAGCGTTTACGAGAGCCTGACGTTATAATGTGGGAGGTCTTCGCAGCAAGAATCTCGACGAAAGCGTTTACGAAGATACACACGAAAGTGCATCATCGCGATCGTTACAGTCGAACACGATGATGCACTTTCACACGAGTGGTCACCTAGTTCGCCCGACGGCATAGCCGTCTCTGAGGGGAACGCGCGTACCGGCGTACGTGCGGTGAGAGAAGCGAAGTCAACGAAGAAGGAGAGAAGGAGCGGCAAAAGGCAAGTGAAGCGAAGGAAATGAGAATGGAGAACACGGTGAGCGGCGACTGGTGGTGGTGTGGCACCGAGCGGCGATCGGTGGAGGGGCAACGGCTCACCTACCTGCCGGTCGTAGGCTCAGTCGGTGTTCGCCAGGTTGAAAATCCGTCCGTTGCTTCTCCTGCCTTCTTAACTGGCTAGTGATCGTACACGAGCCGGCCACGCGTTCTTTCTTCAAAGAAAAGCAAACGCGTCGCCGGAAACGTGGCTTCTTCCGAGGGGGTGGCGCGTTCTTCCCCCATTGACCTACTGATCGATTCCTCTCGGTATCGATGTTGACAATCGCGCGGGAATCCTTCGGATAGTCTTCCTCGATTGTACCGGAGATTCGAAAAGGTAGAAAATTTTGCGTACGAACCAAAGAAGGTCCGTATCTTGTGTGTGAAAAAGTGGAGGAGGCGTATGCACGCGCGCGTTTACGTTACGCATCTCTCTGTGTGTATGTGTTTACGTATGGTGTGATTCGTGTTGACTGTGCAGGGTGCAACGACATAACGAGAGAAAGAGAAAAAAAAGAGAGAGAGAGACAACGATTTCAAGTTTCGCTCTCGACGCCAGCCGCTCCGATTGCTCTGCTGAACAGCCAACAACTGCGACATTAGGTGACATATAGGCGCACACGTGCAGTCATGGTAAGTTTGCACAGACCGCCTTCGGTACGGAGCACGCGCTCTGCAAAATCGAATCTGACGACTCAGAGAAGTCGTTTCCCCGAAGAATCTCAGACTGGATGCAAACAGCAGTCTAAAGTCGACCACTTTAACATCTATTCAATTTAATACCATATATCGTTATCACTCGGATTTTTGTTATTAAATTATTTATAGATTGACCAAGACTTTGTGAGTAAATTAATAACAATATAAGGGAGCATAAAAATCAACACTAGTTGTTATTGCGAAATTAATCTTTACAAAATTCGTATCCTATCAAAATAAAAATTTAGACGTTTCGACTTTTAGGTCATTTTCAGTATTTAAACTTACGGTTAAAAGTTATATATTCAAATTACTATTAAAGATAGCATCTAATAATTAGTGTCAATTTTTTAAACTTATGGTTAAAATTACATACGATATTATAATAATTGTTCTAAAATCTGTTCAATGTATTGCGACAATATTATGAAGAGAATTGGAGAGCAGTGAAGAAAGCTCCTCGGATATTCAACAGTATAATTATGTATTGACAAATCGGTGACATATACTTTATATTTATAACCACTGGTGATGTCCAAATTAAAAGTCGCAACGTTTTGTTTAGATTTATTGTAATTTTATTTGTATTTTTAATTACATCCCATGTGCCTCGCTGGCATGTCAGTTAGTGAGTTATCAGTGTAAAATTTTACTCATTTTTCGTGTACACTGGTTAGACAGAATCGAATTTTTTTCGCCACTGTTAGTATAATCGATTCATATATCCTCTATGTTGTGTATCACAATCAAAACTTCTCTTAAATGATAATCATGGTTTTTTAAAACAGAAGTCTCAAATCCTGTACGTTTAACCACGACAATCCACTGTTTTTCAAATTCCTTATATGTATGTACCTTAAATTAAATTATTTGTTACATTAAATTTTTTATTCAATTGTATCTAAATTGAATAACTTGTAACTGAACTATATAATTTGTAACTTCCTATATTTTTTTTATATCCGAACTGTGTAACTTCTTTTTCAATTGTATCAGAACTGTAAAACTTATAACTAAACTGTATTATTTGTAACTAAATTCTTGATTTATACTTTCATTGCAATTATTTTTATTTCAAAATAGAGCATTTCTTTTTAACTTATGCCATTACTGTATTCAATTTCTTGACTATCATTTATTTTTTCGTTAAATTTAATTGGAGTAATTGAAGCGAAGCGAGATGAGAATTGTGATTATTGCGATATTGAGATTTTTCGATGATTTTTCCAACACAAATAATATACGCGCTGCATTTTCTACGGCTTTTATTGTACAGCCATTCCTATTTTACGTACTTCTTTCAAGCTACAAAGAATACGATATGGGGAGAAATGAACCCTTACACATTAAAATTATGCGCGCGGTTGCTCTCACGTGCACGGAGTTTAAAGGGCATCTTATAATAAAGGTCGACGTGTGTGAGGAGGTACGGCAGGCCCAAGCGAGCTCTGATATCTTCATTTTACGTATGCGAGCTGCAAGAGAGGAAGCTCGCAAGGTGAATACGGACGCGTCGGATTGGTATGCGATGTCCATAATTTGCAGCCACAAGAGTGTCGTTAATATGGCATACACGCGAACGTGCGTTTTACGCGTGATACTCCCAGCAATTTTGAGGACCCCTCGCCATTTTCTGCGCTGAAATTTTATACAATATAATCGCGGACTCTTGTCTTTAATCCGCATAATATACGGGGTGGATCCAAACGTTTCACAACCAGACTGTGAGATTTTATGAGAAGAATTCTGAATAAAAAGTTTCCTACAAATATGTATCAAAAAATGCTTCCTTAAAAAGTTAGCGCCCAACAATTTTTGATATGGTTATTTTATGTATATTTTTACAAATACCAAGGAGAGTATATTATCTTTCAAAAGAGATCAAAACGATTGTAGTACCTACGTTCCATAGGTTTTAAGATAACCAATTTCAAATATAAAAAAGTGTTACTTTCGACGATACATTCTTAAAAATATTCTTCATTGTTATATTGTTAGGGCCTCAGGTCTTATAAGTGAAGAATATTTCTGAAAAGCTTTATATCGTCGATAATAGAAAAAATACTTTTTGTAAAACTTGATTTGAAACAACAATATTTACAACAATATTATTTCGAAAGACCTATGGAACGTACTATTATCATTTTTATCTTATATAAAAAATAATTTAATTCTTTACAACTTTTGTTATTTTTTGTAAAAACGTATATTTTTCCTGAAACTTTGTAAAAATGTATTAAAAAAACCATGATTTCAGAGGTTTTAGGGCGCTAATTTTTTAAGGAAGCATTTTCGATACATGTTTATAGGAAATTTTTTATTCAGAATTAAATTTTCTATAAAATCTGAGTCTTGTCGGAACGTTGAGGTTCACCCCGTATAGTAAAAATAAAACGATATTTGCGGCGGCTTCGACGACGAGAGAGCATTTATATAAGTGTTGACAAGTCATCCAGAAAGCATCTGTCTTCGCCACAACGTGGTTACTAATCGTGACCGGCAAATATGACCATTGAGAAACGTTGACTCAAACATAATGGTTCGTGTTAGCAAGCATTTCGGGAATGGTTTACTTCAGATACTATTTTACGCAAGAGAGATCGTTGCAGCCATCGAACTGATACAGTTAGCGCAGTTGCCACCGCCGTGTTTCTTGCATCTTTTATTTATAGAATGGCTTTTTCTGCGTCGTTTCTCTGCGCAAAAAGTTTCTGTGCCGCGAAAGATTAATTCTGCTCTCGCGCGTGAATAGATCGTGGCGTCTACATTATGCAAACGCCGCGCGTGAATTGCGTGTCTCGATTTATATTACTACGACGTGTGATCCCCTGGATCGTTGCGTGTTGCTTATCGCCCGAATCCCGATCCAAATTCATAAGCAGTCGTCTGTAATTTATTCTCAATAAATATACGTTGTACGTCGCGGATCCCCTTCTTTTCACCTCGATGATATCTAGACTCGTTAATTTATATGTATGAAGATTCAATTTGCAAGTGTATCGTCTTCTGGTTCTTCTAGTCAAGTAGATTAGGGTTATTTCGAAAGCTTGAAGACGATCATTTGACAAACAACAGAAATTTTTATCGTGTATTAATATTCCCAGTCGACACCAATTAAAATAACATAACATCAATGTTATAATTTTGCACTAAACAATATAATTGTTATGTAGCCATGTGTTACATTACATTTATATTGTTATACAGTTAGAAAATTTGTATTAAATTTAACATATTTCACGTGTTAAATTTCCTATTTTAGATCCTAAACGGTTCACTGAAATTTTTGTGTTAATTTAACATAAGATGAACATGTTAAAAAAATAATAAAAACATAACACTGACAATTTGTAAGCAACCATATTTCTTCATTAAATTCATATTTCTTTATATTTATATTTCTTTTCTTCGTTAAAATTAACATTTAAAATAACATTTAAAATAACGTTTAAATTAACATTTTCTTAGAATTTACGTTTTAAAAACATTATTTTTGTTATTTTAACGCAGAGAAATATTGAATATCAATTTAACACAAAATTTTAACAAGGATTTGAATCGTTTCTAATACAAATACAAAAGTTTTTTTACTGTACGAGTTACTTTCAGTTGACGTCAATTGGATTGCTATTAATATTGCAAGTATAAAAAATTTATCTACCGAGTATTTTCGATTACAATATCGAGCATAATATTTGAATAATCTTTCTTCAGTGGCCTCTCGTATCGAATTAACTATCGAAGCCTTGACTGTCATTCGCCAACAAGATTTTTTACATACGACCATCTCACGAAGCAGTATGTCGTGAAGTCACGCGAGGCAAGAAATCGCTGCACATTACAAGATCTAAGTACCAATAATTTCTTAACTATGTCACGATACGATGTCCTTTCGCGAGGTTGAAGCTCGAGGTCGAAAAATCGAATAATATTCGCTGACAGTGAAAGGTAGTTCGAACGATAGAAGCAGGTTTGTTGAAGATGCGATTTAGCTAATTAGAAGCTTTTTATTTATGAAATATTAACTCATTGCGTACGGCTCACGAGATATCTCGTGTTTACCGAACCGAACGACGAGACCGGATCGCAAGCTTTCTCGTTTTTGCATTTCGTTATAATCCCATACTAATGGCTCGGTAATAAAATATTAAAGTAATTATGTCCGGTTGTTATGTTGTAAGAAATACTTTACAATAATCTATACGAAAGAATTTCGAAACAAATTGCGAATAGAATGCGCGAATAGAAAAAGTGCTTGAACTAAGTTTCAGAACTTTAAAAAATGTACGTGCAATGCATTAAAATGTACTCGAAGAACGAAATTTAAAAAAGAATGTGAAAGCTTCAATTTGCTATTGCAGTATTATCATGTTTTACTTACTGAAAAAATCTAAAAATCTTGAATTTTCCAGATATTTCTCTTTTCCTTAAAAATTAGAAATTTTTATAGAATTTTATCTCAGAGAAGATTTTTGGAATTTTATCTTCACAAATTCAAACTGTCTTTTTAAGAATATTGTTTCTTTTTCATTTTTTCTTAATGAAATGTCGATAATCGGTTAACAATTATAAGTACGGCATACATCATATTTACGTAAATTTTTGTGTAATCCATAAATTTATACTTACAAAATCTAAGTGGCATATACTCGTACATAGCAAACGAGAGTAGCTTATGCGAGATTTCCCTATACTTATCTTATAGATTTTGTGACCTCAATTGAAGAAAAGGATAAATACGGTTCCGTAGTTCTCTCGTGGAGAATTTCTGTTTTTTATTAATTTAATATATAATTTAATTGCATATTACTTGCATTCCAATTTATTTAAAAAATGCATCAAACGGTTCTCTAATCTTATTTGGAATTTTGAGTAAAAATACCTGGAAAATCCAGGAATTTTCAGGGAATTTTGTTATAAGATTTCAATAAACA